GTTAGGGTAGGGAAAAGTTAAATCTAAGGGCTAGACAATAAGTGAATGGTGACCCTAATATTTACTTCAAAGGGGGGAAATTGTGATCATTCTTATTTCTTAAAGAAAAAAGGGTAGGCAGAAGGACGAAATCAGATGCACACGCGTTTCATGCCAAACATCGTGATGTTAATTTATCATTATTCCTTTATACATAAGTGGCTTAACATCTATTTTTCTTTCAGTGGCTTAATATCTATTTTTAGTAGTGAAATAGAATACACTCACTAGTAGATATATGATGAGCATATTGCACAATATCTAACAGGAAAGCAATAGTGTTGGGAATAACTGAATCGGAAATCTCCTTTCTGAAGCCAAGTAACTAAAACATAAAAAGTCAATTTATAGAGGACTAAAGTAGGTTGATTCTTTAAATTTTGTGCATGCACAGCACTGCAGGTAGCTCCAATGCAAAAGCTTGTCATAGTTCAATTGCTTTTGAGTATGCTAAGAAATACAGTATATCAAATCCTAACCTCCGATGGACTAGAATGTTCCGTCCTCCACTGGATGTGCTTTTTTTTTAAAAAGCGACGGAATAGCAATGGTCTCAAAAGAATTTTTTTCCATGTTGTATACAAATATTTCAGAACTTCTGGTTGGGATATTATCAAGTCTATTGCTTACGCAGTACAGCATGCAATAGCATAGAGCTTATTAAACATATTAAAAGTTCTGACGATTACAAGGGCCGCACGCACAATAAACAATATTAGGGTCATGACAATAAAGATTTAGGCAAGTCATAGACAAACTTCAAGTCTGATACAAGTCAAATCTATTTGTTATGCTCTAAATACAAAACTTGTTCTACGAAATGTAAACCACAAAAATAGCAAGGCATGAGTAAGTGATACAAACCCGACTGAGCCTCCACCAGATCCAACTAAGCAACGATCTTTCAGTTGAAAACGATTCAGCTTTTCAAGCATTAGTCTCATTCTCTGAGAAGGTAATCCTTCAGGAGTCGTGTTCTTGTGATCATATGGCATAAATAGAGCCTGGAGAAAATGACATAAACAACCTAGAATCAGTATTTCATTCACAAAAGAAACTAGAAAGAATTATTCTCCAAAATTTCTGGGAGAGAATCCTACAAGGTCTCCTCTATGCCCTAAATTCTAAAACAAGTCATGGGGAAATCTTGAAAATAGTATCCTTTACATATGCAGAAAAACTTACAACACAAAGAGCAGAAAGACATACTACTAAAAGTTATACTTGCCTCCATTCCGGAATGCACGTTAACCCATATATGTGGTTCGAATGATGCACACAATTTCCGCATAATTTGTGTCTCCGGCTCACTGAAAGGGGCAGTCCCGGGATTTTCTTCATATGGATCATAATCCTGAAAAGGAAAGATCGAAGGGACAAAGAGCTGGATAAGCACATAACTGCATTAATTTGAAATAATAAACACAAACAACATATACACAAGAATCCAGTAAAGTAAAATTTAATTGGTACTAAGCGCAAATTTTATTGAGCACCACCAAGATGGCATAAGCAACAGCCTTACGATAAGAAAAGGAACACGACCAGTCTACACACCAGTAACAAAGCAACACAACATGTACACACAATGAGAATTCTACCAATGGAGGTCTAAAGAACAAACCTTTTCCTTCTTGCCCCAATCTACACTCCAGTTACGATTAAGATCAACTCCTCTTCCTGCCAAATAAAATTTGAACTTAATTATCTTGGTACTTCTAAGAAAGTAAAACTTTGTGATCCGACTAGCAAGACAAATAGCTATACCATTTCTTCTTTCACAGAGATCCCCTCCTTCTACAAGTTTACGCCCATTCACATTCTCCATTGGAATAACCTGATAAGGCGAATAACAGAGCATTACCAAGTAACATTAGTTTACAATAGAATTTGGTTACTTTCTAAAGTGATAACGATCTTTGTTTCCTTTTCTATTTTCAGCCCTCGGCATATAGTAATTTTTAATTAATTGCACAAAATTTGAATTTCTATGCCGATACGAACAGAAATAATTGACAAGCAATATAGAACACAAATATGCATTCTATTTTCACACATTTTGACTGCGAGTTCCAAATAGACTAGGATTTTACCTTTATGACAAGCCTATCAAGCGTGTTATTTAAATTAAGTGGGTATGCACTGGATAAAAATTCCTCTTCACTTAAAATGGAAAGTATCCGCAATGCGAGCTCCGTAGTTATGAGCTCCCTCCCATGCTGGCCAAAACTCTGGAACACAAGCAATTTATCTGTCAAAAACACCAGCAATGACCAATCTGAGATTTTTCTAACACTAAAGACCAAATCAGTATAATGTCTGGGAAAACATTAACCCTAAGTCTTTTCACAGATAACACTAGAAACCATCTACTTCCCCTCCTCTCTTCTTTTTTCTTTTGAAGGCAACCATCTTTACAAGGGGAAGTGACCTAAATAGTGCCCACGAGAGGGAGTACACCATATACTTGCATTCTACTAGAAATGAAGAAAGCAAAAATGGACCAGAGAAGGTAAACTTACAAGAAGGATCCTAAGCTTTGACTTGTCATCGCAGTCTTTCCTGTTCCGGCAATAAGTAACTACAGTCATCTCTGCAAGATACCCTTTGTTTTGACTAGAAAATGTTTCGAGCTGCATAAACATGAAATAAGATGGGATTATTAAGAGATGCCTGTTTGTGTAGTTTCAAATGTTCCAAAGACAAAAGATTGAAAAGGCAGGGGATAGGGGGAAACCCACAGAGAGCTTGCTCGGGTGTCTATGGACCAATGCTTCAATCTCGTCCAACAAAGCTCCCCTATAAGATATTATAAAACGATGTCAAATACCCAAATTATATAAAATATAAAGGAAAAACAGAACAATGCCGAAAAGTGAACCATCAATCACCTCACCCCTCACCCTCACCCCCCCCCCCCCCCCAAAAAAAAAAAAAAATTTTAAAAAGGGCAGCCTGATGCACAAAGCATCCTGCAATCACGCAAGTCCCGGGAAGGGACGCACCCCTAGGGGTGTGATGTAGACAACCTACCCTAATGCAAGCATTAGCGGCTGCTTCCACGGCTTGAACCCGTAACAAACTAAAATAGAGCCTTTCTTGATCTGTAACAAACAAAACTTCGACAATCAAAATAGAGCCTACCGTAAAACATTAATGCATTAATATCTATAAAGATTCACTTTCTGTCGAATAAGGTATTAAGCTACTCACATTGATTAACATCACCAAAATTTGATTTTGATCTAGAACATCCTATCCCAGCTTCATCCCGAGTAAAAAGAAAATATCAAGGAAAACAAAAAGGAGAAAAAGCTACCAATCAATCAGCTTCCCTCAATCCCAAATAAGTTCAAGCCAGCCTTACAAGTCCTCTATATCCAGTAACTTCTATTCAGGTCCATTTCATCCTAATACTAAATAATTTTCCATTTAAAGATGTCATCTTTCTAAATTCAGAACAAAACAGAAAACTGATGCAAAAGAAGAGAAGAAAGTCATCACCTTTCTTAATATAGTCCTATTAAATTGAGTAAATTGTACAACCATAGTGCAATCATATTCATATAAAGTTCATTTTCAGTAAAAGTAATTAATAAGCTAACCTACTCGCATCAATACCCATCATTTAAGATTCCTAGTTAATACTTAATTGCAATTAAAATTAAATTAAATAAGCAGATAAAATCTCAGATATTTACCTGGTGTGATAAAGATCGTGATTGATAGGAGTAAGAGGAATCTGCGTGGCATTTGAATTAGAATTTCCATTGACAATAGAAGAAGACAGAACAATCAACACAGCTCCAAAAAGCAAAACTAACGGCGAAATGGGTGAAAAATACAAACGTCGCCGACGACGAAACCCCATTTAAATTACCAAGACAGAACCCACATCCGACGTTTCCGTGATGTGTCTTTTTGTTTTTCGACAAATCCCAAATCTTTTTCTTTTCGACAATCCCAAAACTTACAACGTTGGAATTGGTTAAAGAAAGTGTTGGGAGATGCCGGCAGTGGAGAAGAAGACAATATTGGTTAGGAGTCGTTGATTGTAGAGGTTCAACGGCTATGATTGGATGGAAATAATCTTCAGATTTAACTGTGTTCCCACGCGCATGTTCCCATCATTTCATGATCCAATCCAGTATCATTGTCAGTTTGTATGGCTGTTTTGGGCAATTTTGTCAATTGTTGCAATAAAGTTTCTAAATTATTGTCTCTAATTTTTTTTTTTTGTTATAAATATATTATATTATGGATCTTCTTTAATACTCCGTTGTAAATAAGCTTCCTGAAGAAGTTTATCCATACGAGACTCTACCGTAAATATGTTATCTATTTAGTACTCTATTGGAAATAAGTCTCCTGAAAAAGCTTATCTCTTCGGTACTCGGTTATGGATAAATATTACCCACGGTAGAAGATTATCCATACCGGGTACAATAAGCTTATCCTTTCGATACTCCGTTATGGATAAACATTACCCCCGGTAGAAGATTATCCATACCGAGTACAATAAGCTTATCCTTTCGATACTCCGTTATGGATAAATATTACCCCCGGTAGAAGATTATCCATACCGGGTACAATAAGCTTATCCTTTCGATACTCCGTTATGGATAAACATTACCCCTGGTAGAAGATTATCCATACCGGGTACAATAAGCTTATCCTTTCGATACTCCGCTATGGATAAACATTACCTCCAGTTGAAGATTATCTATATCTGGTACAGTAGCAGCTTACACAGCAGCTTGCTTTCTTCTATAAATAGAGGAGATTTTAGTTTATTATGTACATAAGATTGAAGTTGAATAACAAATCTCTCTTTCTCTCTACTTGTCTTTAGTTTATTTACTTTACAGTCGTTATTTTATAACAGGTTATCAGAACGAGACTCTGCCATCTCGAGCAAATACTTTGAAAGTATCTGAGCTACGAACTTTTTTTTTTAAATAATGTCAAATATTTCTAAAATTGAATTTGTAGCCCTGGATATATCGGGCAAAAGCTACATGTCTTGGGTGCTTGATGCTGAAATTCATCTTGATGCGATGGGTCTGGCTGACACCATCAAGGATAAAAATCAGGCATCAAACCGAGACCATGCCAAAGCAATGATATTCCTACGCCATCACCTTGATGAGGGCCTGAAAATGGAATATCTCACTATTAAAGATCCAGTCATACTGTGGAATAATTTGAAAGATAGATATGACCACCTGAAGATGGTTGTTCTTCCACAGGCACGTTATGATTGGACTCATCTAAGGCTACAAGATTTTAAATCTATAACTGAGTATAATTCTGCTATGTTCAGAACTATTTTCCAATTGAAATTATGTGGTGATAATTTACTGATCATGATATGTTGGAGAAAACTTTCACCACTTTTCACGCCTCGAATATGCTCCTGCAGCAGCAATATCGAGAGATGGGATTTAAAAAGTATTCTGAACTTATCTCACATCTTCTTATAACCGAGCAACATAATGGGCTATTAATGAAAAACCATGAAAGCCGACCTACCGGTTCTTGTCCATTCCCTGAAGTGAATGAGACGAATTTTCACCAAGCTAAACGTGGAAGAGGTTGTGGCCCCAGTCGTGGTCATGGTCGTGGTCGGGGAACAAACTCTAATCATGGTAATAATAATGCACCAAAGAACCCTCCTCACCACCAGCAGTGGAAAAGGAAGGAACAAAAGCATGAAGCGGTGCAAGCACCAAATGCATGCTATAGATGTGGAGGAAAAGGGTACTAGTCACGTACATGCCGTACGTCAAAGCACTTTGTTGAGCTTTATCAAGCCTCCCTGAAGAAGACAGAGAAAAATGGTGAAGCAAATTTTATTTCTGAAGATAATTTAGACTTCATGCATTTGGATGTAGCTGATTACTTTGCACTTCCAGAAGGAGAAACAAGTCATGTAATCGGTGGTGAATCTGTAGAAATGTAAATATTTTAATTTTTGTTGTTTGTAATAGATAGTATGGTTATGTAATTGTTGTACATAAATAAAAGTTATGCTTTGATTATGATTTTCTCTCATGATACCAGAAGTGTCTGGGCAATATTTGATAGTGCAAAATATATCAACAACTCCTGAAGAGCTAACTTTTTGCTGAATAATATTTGATTGTGGACAATAAATTGAAGGATCCCAAATAGCTTATTTGTCATTATTGTGGTGAAAACATATGTTATGATAAACCCGAAGTTTACTAATACAAATGACAATCATACTGAGACTACAAATGATTGAAAGATTGAAAATCTTCATGTTTCCACAATCATAGGGGGTAAATATGTATGTGAGAAGTTACCCGCCTTATTCTTCATCGATGCGAGAGCCGAGATATCTAATGGCTTTGGGCGCAACTTGCGTTCAAATACATGATGGTTCACGGGATTCTGCAATCCACACCAAGTATCGCATTTCCACAATTATAGGGGGTAAATATGTATGTAAGAAGTTACCCGGCTTATTCTTTAATTTGTACTACATCATATATATCACAGTAAACCAGAAGTTTACTAATGCAAAAGCAGCCACAGTAAACCAGAAGTCTAATGCGAAAGTTTATGCCATAGTAAACCAGAAGTTTACTAAGAGATAGTACATGCCATGATAAACTTGAAGTTTTCATTTGCCATTTATAATGAGCTATTTGAGAATTCAGATAAGCATATACTGAATAACTAGAAGATTCTTCAAGAATTCTCCTGTGTTGCTTGTTCTCATAATAAATTGATTATACCAGCTAAAGTTGGGACTAAGACCCCTGATTCTGAAATATATAAGGTGAATATGGGCCCATTCACCTATCATGTGAACCACTTATAGATGCATATATAAGATGGTTACATATATGTTTATTGTCAACCTGCAGTTTGACATTTGAAATTGCTTTTCTCACTTAAGAGCATAATTTTCAGATTATGAAATCAAGACAGTTCATCTTGATAATGCTGGTTTATATACAAGCTAGTTTAGTAGTGAATACCTCCTATTAATGGCTAAGCTATTGTTTATGAGAACAAAGCTTCATGTGTTGGTTTAAGATTTTCTAAATTGTATATAGCAGCACTTGTATGCATCAGACCAACAATATATGATAAGTCCTCCCCTCACAATTGGTTTAGGATCAGAAACCAAATATTTTACTATCTTTTGATGTGTGGTATATGATTAATTTCTCCACCACAATGCACAAAGATATGTTTCCCAAAGAAGATTGGGGAGATATGTTAGTTTTTCTAATATTTGGGGGATGGATTAAACAGCTGAAAAATATACTATATGAATCTAATTATCATTAATATAATCCTCACTTAGAAGATAATTCAAGTCAATGCCAGAAGCATTTGCTGATCCAAAATCAAATATCATATTTCAGCTGTAAATGCTCCTATTAAAATTTAAAGTCCCTGAAGGATAGAGTTTACTGTACGCATGAAGCGTGGTAGACCAATCGGTTCCAAAGGTAACAATCCTTGAAAAATGATAAGGAGCTAATGATCAAAATGATCATAATGAGGAGGAAATGAGCTCTAGAAGAGCCCACGACATAACATTTCACGAAACTCCAGAAGAAGTTCAGGTGCCTGAAAATAAAGAAAGTGATGAGATCTCAACAAGTTATGTCGCTTAGGAACCGATACAAAATGATCGTCGACGATATATTTGATACAATATAGTGCACAATATTGTAAAAGATTGTGAGGATCGGACCTGTAGTCCAATCGTCCAGACACATGATTAAATCTATATGAAGATCCTTGAAGGATTTAAAATACTTGAAGCATATAATTCAAAGTATTGATAAATATGCTCGATCAAATTATAAAGATCTTTGTACGATTTAAATCAATCTGGGCGCATGTGATATAATTGTCTCAGTGAATATTTGCTGAAAGAAAGTTACATAAATGATGTTATTTGTCCATGTATTTTTGTAAAGAAATTGTCATAAGAATTTGTTACACTTTTTGTTTATGTTGATGACATAAATCTTGTTAGAACTCCAGAAGAGCTCCAAAAGGCAATTGAATATCTTAAGAAAGAATTTGAGATGAAAGATCTTGGAAAAATAAAAATTTGTCTTGGTCTGCAAATTGAATATTTAGCAGACGAGATCTTTATCCATCAATTTGCCTATACAGAAAGGGTCTTTAAACGCTTTTACATGGACAAAGCGCACCCATTAAGTACACCAATGGGTGTTCGATCACTTGAAGTGAATAAAGATCCGTTCCGACCTCCAGAGGAGGATGAGGAACTCATTGGTCCTGAAATACTCTATCTCAGTGCAATTGCTATGCACTTATGTATCTTGCTAATGCTAACAAAGGTGGTGCAGATCGTATTGGTTATGCAGATACAAGATTAGAATGCGGAGACTCAAATATTTGAAACAAGATTTTCATCAGGGGGAGTAAAATACGCGATGCACTCTTTTTTCCTTACTAAGATTTTTTCCTATAGGGGTTTCCTTATAAGGGTTTTAATGAGGCACCTAGTAATGCGTATTACTAAATATGTGTACTCTTTTTCCTTCACTAGAATTTTTTTCACGGGGTTTCTCCTAGTAAGGTTTTAATGAGGCACATTATCTTTTTATGAACATCCAAGGGGGAGTGTTATAAATATATTATATTATGGATGTTCATTTAGTACTCCGTTGTAAATAAGCTTCCTGAAGAAGCTTATCCATATGGGACTCCACCGTAAATATGTTTATCTATTTAGTACTCTATTGGAAATAAGTCTCCTGAAGAAGCTTATCTCTTCGGTACTCGGTTATGGATAAATATTATCCATGGTAGAAGATTATCCATACCGGGTACAATAAGCTTATCCTTTCGATACTCCGTTATGGATAAATATTATCCTCGGTAGAAGATTATCCATACCGAGTACAACAAGCTTATCCTTTCGATACTCAGTTATGGACAAACATTACCCCCGGTAGAAGATTATCCATACCGGGTACAATAAGCTTATCCTTTACCCCCGGTAGAAGATTATCCATACCGGGTACAATAAGCTTATCCTTTTGATACTCCGCTATGGATAAACATTACCTCCAGTTGAAGATTATCTATTTCTGGTACAGTAGCAGCTTACACACCAGCTTGCAGTAGCAGCTTACACAGCATCTTGCTTTCTTCTATAAATAGAGGAGATTTCAGTTTATTATGTACATAAGTTTGAAGTTGAATAACAAATCTCTCTTTCTCTCTATGTGACGACCCAAAGGGGTCATCACTTGTTTCCTTACTCATTCCGTGGTTCAGATTCGAGTATTTCAGCCAGCTATTGCAGTTCAGCCGGTGATAGTTACTCAGACCGGCGATGGAGCGGCTATGTCCGCAGATGCTTTGTGGAGGCTGGATAGGTTCACCAAGCTCTTCACTACTACATTCAGCGGTGCTTCTTCTGAGGACCCACAGGATTTCTTATATAGCTGCCACGAGGTTCTTCGGAACATGGGCATTGTTGAGTCTAATGGAGTTGATTTTGCTGCATTCCGCCTATCTGGATCCGCCAAGACTTGGTGGAGAGATTTCTGTTTAGCCAGACCAGCAGGGTCGCCGTCTTTAACTTGGGATCAGCTTTCAGAGTTGTTCCTGGAGAAGTTTCTCCCCGTTACTCAGAGAGATGCCTATCGGAGGCAGTTCGAGCGCCTCCAGCAGGGTTCTATGACGGTCTCTCAGTATGAGACCCGGTTTATCGATCTAGCTCGCCATTCTCTTGTCATACTTCCCACCGAGAGAGAGAGGGTGAGGAGGTTTATTGATGGTTTGATTCAGCCGATTCGTCTCCAGATGGCTAGGGAGACTGGTACTGAGATCAACTTTCAGGAGGCGGCCAATGTGGCCTACCGAGTTGAGATGGTTCTGTCACAAGGAAGTGGTCACGGGGGAGACAAGAGAGCCCGTCATTCCGGCAGATTCAGTGGTACCTCATCTGGAGGTAGAGATTCATATGGTAGAGGCCATTCTCCTAGGCCCTTTCAGTTGGCCCTTCAGGTTTCTCACGGTACATCAGGTGGCTGTGGTTCTCAGGCATACTATTCCGATCAGCAGCCACTCAGTGCACCGCCAGCTCCTATCAGCGCACCGCCACTTCAGAGTTTCCGCGGAGGCCATTCAGGTCGACAGGGGCAGCAGACTCAGCAGCTGAGGGCTTGTTACACTTGTGGTGACACGGGTCATATTGCCAGATTTTGCCCTCGAGCACCGAGCAGTTCTCCGCGCCAGGATTCTCGTGCCATGGTCCAGGCACCAGGTGCTCCACAGCCAGCCCACCCAGCTAGAGGCGGGGGTAGAGGTACTAGAGGTGGAGGTAGAGGTCATAGAGATAGAGCCTAGACCGCTAGGGGTGGAGGTCAGCCAGCAGCAGATCGACCTAGGGATACGGTTCAGGGTGGTGGGGCCCAGCCCCGTTGTTATGCTCTTCAGGCCAGGCCCGAGGCTGAGGCTTCAGATGCAGTCATCACAGGTACGGTTCTGGTTTGTGACCGAGATGCTTCGGTACTATTTGATCCAGGGTCTACGTATTCTTATGTGTCATCTTATTTCGCACCCTGCTTGGTCATGCCTAGTGATGCATTGGGTGTTCCTGTATATGTGTCTACACCGGTGGGGGACTCTATCGTAGTCGACCGAGTCCATCGTTCATGTGTTGTAGTGATTGGGTGTCTGGAGACCCGTGTAGACTTGTTGCTCTTAGATATGGTTGACTTTGATATCATTCTG